TTTTATTATATATTCACACATTTATATGTACATACACATATAGATAGCATGGAGAGACACAGATAGAGACATAGAGACAGGGAGAAAACAGAAAGAGAACCCTACCTACCTTCCTCACTCAGCTTACTTTCGGTACAAGAAAAATGCAATGGAAACTAAAAACTGGAAGAATACGTAAAAGGTAACTATGATTGTCTTTGGGGGACAGGAGTTTGGGTAATTTTTTGCTATTTGCATTCTCCTAGTTATTTGATAATTAGATAATCTTATATTACCTTTGTAATTTGTGTAATGTTTTAAGTAAAAAAAGTTTTATATCTGAATTTTTAGTCATTTCTAATAAAAGGTACATCAACATAATATCATTATTTCCTCTAGCCCCCATATAAAGCTCATTCCACATTTCCTAACATTATAAAATTAAATTTTGGCACAGTCAATGAATAATACCACCCAATAAAATAAATCTTGAATGGTTCACTTTAATTAAGCATTACATGAAAATATGCTAGTAAAAAAGCAGACATTAAATACATCTCCTCAAATAATTCTTAAACAACATCCCAAGTTCAACACCAAGAATTTAGTTCACCCAAGTTAACATTAAACAATTACTTGTAACATATGTTTCAAAATAATCAAATCACATGAAATTTTAAAGTGAAAGAATTCAGTGGTCTCCAGTTAAGCATTTACATAGCATTTATTATTCTGTCAGCCATAGTACTTAGGAGGCAGGAAAATTGATAATTATTTTGCTTTGCATACAATAGAAGCATATGGGTTTAAATACCTTTTAATATAGTACTACTGAAATCAGAGCCAAGATTAAATGAGGAAAATATGTTTCCTATACTACTTTACTCTTGGGAACTATTTAGACTAACATGCAATTTTTTCCATTATCCAAATTTCTTTTCTCTATTGTATCTTAGTCCATGCCTCAGGACTTAAGAAACTTTAGTATTTCCCCACACTTTGGGGAGGGTAGGTGCCCAAATCACTTTAATCTGGTGAACAGTTATGGAGGAGGAGGTGGAAAAATAAGGGAACATCTGAGAGGATAATAGAAATCAACCAATAGTGACCACAGTTACAAAAATTAGTGTGAACCTTTCACCAGATTATCAAAGGTGTAGAATGGTGAGCAGAGTACAGCTGAGTTCTAACCCCAGATTTCTTATCATTGTAGGAGCTGGGGCAAGTCCAAGTCTTTGGGAATCAGTTTCTTCCATTTAAAAAGAAAGTTTGGGTCAAGATTATTAAATTATTAAAATCGCTTTTAGATGAATGTCACTCTAAGTACTTGTAACCGTGGACAACTACTATTAGATACTGCTTTGGCAACAGTGAAAAATACCAGTTTCAATACTAATATTTAAATCACTAAGTGCACTACTAACATTTTCAAAATGTGATGCATTACAAACCACTGAAATATTGTTGTCCCTGAAGAGTTATCTTTCAACCTCCTTCCGATCTAAAAGCTATACTGTTTGCTTGTATATGTAACACTACTATTTTTTTGGTTGAATTTAAATTCTTACATAAACATTTGTTTTTATTATTAATAGTTAAATCTATAGGGAGCCCTGGCGGGTTTGGCTCAGCAGTAGAGTGCCGGCCCATGGGCCAAAGAGTCGTGGGTTTGATTCTGGTCAAGGGCACGGACCTTGGCTGCACTTCAATCCCCAGCCCTGGTTTGGGGTTGTGCGGGAGGCAACCTATCAATGTACCTCTTTTTTCATGGGGATGTTTCTCTCTGTCTCTACCACTCTATATGAAGATAAATGGAAACATGTATCCGTGGGTGAGGATTAAAAAGAAAAAAATTATAGGGAAATGTTTTTCGGTAATGTTTTCAAATATTAATTAAATTCCTATTTTCTTTACTTTGATATGTCAGCATTCTTCAAATGATAAATACCATTTATAAAACTAGAAGTTTAATTTGAATTAAAATTCCCTTATATTATAAATTAATGAAAACTCGAGCAAATACCTACATCAGTGATTTTCAACCTTTTTTATCTCATGGCACAATTAAACTAATTACTAAATACTGCAGCACACCAAAGAAATATATATTTTTTTGCCAATTTGACAAAAAAAAAAAATAGGTATAATTTTGATTTATTCACACTGGACAGCTATTGTTGTGTTGGCTATTGTCATTTTTAAACTTGACATTCTGAGGGAAAAGAGGTCAGTGTCCCTGACTAAATAGTCAGGTACTGCATGTTTTAAAAATTCTTGTGGCACACAGGTTGCAAATCTCTGATGTACGTTGATATTTGATACTTTTAAATGAATTATGGGGCAACCATACCCCTTAAATGATAAAAATATTCAAGAGATTATTACCAGGCTTGATTCTCCCCTTGGAATCTCAAATGGTAAAAATAGTAGTGTATTTTCACCCAGTTCCTAAGTCAGCTTTGTTTCTGCTACAGAAGAGTTGATGTCACTCAGCTAGATAACTGAATCAGCACCGGTTGCTGAAAACAGGAAATTATATATATATGTGTGTATATATATATATAATTATTATATAATATATAAAAATATATATTTTAATGAAAGTAAGCTAACAATCTTCTTTTGAAGTAAATGACTTGTTAGGTCTTTGTAAACATCTCAATTTTCCTTTTTATCCCACCTCACAAGCAACGCTAAGAAATTAGTATTTAGATTTCTTTTTAGGAGGTCCCTAATACAGGTCACCTCATATTCTCTTTGGAGTGCTATGGCCTAGACTGACCAGAAAAGCAGATTTCTTCCTATATACTAAAAGTGTGTAATGTCAAGTATCAACCCATCTATGTTAACCTTTTTGTCACATACAGGAAGTGGGAAAACGTAGGGCTCAAGGTAGTAAATAAAGGGAAACAATGAACATTTATTAAGCCATATGTGCCATATGCCTTACACTGACTTCATTCACTTCTGACAACTAAGAGGTGAGAATGGTAACCCACTAAATATGATAATTTAGAAGAAAATGATCAGGAAGTTGAAGTATTTAATGTGAAATCTATGACACATTTATGATCTTAGAGCCCTAACAGTATCTACATATTTTTTTCTATTTTTCCTTTACTTCCTGAAATTTGCAAGTATCTTTTTAACTCTGAACAGCTAATCTGATACAATAGCACTTAATCTACTCTGGTAGGCACTGTGTTTGGTACTGTGGGGGACACACAGATGAATAAGAGAGGCCCTAAGTCCCATGCTGATAATAAATGTTGCTGGTAATAATGTAATTTCATGAAGTAATCTCCTAGTTCAGACAGTATAAAAAGGCTTCTAGTTCTATTTATAAAATGTATGTATCTAAAGACTGTTGTATCCTTAAAAGCCATGCACGGCATCTTTCTCACTTAGCATGTGCACTGCAGAAAGGTTAGTTCTCAGATGTGAACCTCCTATTTCAAAGCCTACGTTTCACAACCTGCTGGATTTTCTAACATTCTAATACTAGATATGAGGCATTTGACTAACTTCTTAAAGATTATGAATTCTCTTTTCATTTTATAGATCTAATGAGGTCCACCACCTGTACCAACAAACAACTATTTCTTAAAGGAAAGATAATCTCTGGATAATAATACATGTTTGTAGGATCTGAGAGGTAAAATGTGTTTGTAAGATTGATAGAACATAGAGGTCTTGACAGACGATTCTCTGAGGCCATATGAGACCATGAAATGAGCATGTGGTTCTGGAGGGACACCAACTTAATCAGTTCTATCTAATCCCAACTCAGTCACATGCTAAATGTACGGCAAGTTATTTCTTTTCTCTGAGTCTCAGTATTTTTATCTGCAAAATGAGTAATAATACCTACCCTGAAGAGTTGTTGTAAAGATGAGAAATAACATCTGTAAGGATCCAGCAGCGAGGATCCAGCAAAGAGGATATAACAGGTGATTAATTGATAGTAACTGCTTATTCTCATCCAGCATTGCACTGCACCTTAGCTAAAGTATCACTTCAACTCTGAGAGCATTCACTTGGTCGGTGATAACTAGCTGACCAATTCAAGTATGAGTCCAATTTATACAAGAATATGCAGAGATCTAATAAATAAAAATTGGACATTTTCTACAAATTACCTTACCATACAGCTGTCTACTAAACACACGCTATAAGTCAGGATTAGTTAAGAGGAGAAAAGTTGTCCTTATCACCTTTATGGCTTTAGTTTGGAAAATAATGATAGTGATAATGACCTTGAACTCTTGTGGAATTTCCATAACTAATGTGTAAGTACATCACTACCATGGAATGGATATCTTTTGGTATCAATGAAATAATAAAGTGACATAGAATTTTAAAAGACAAATTTCAGAAGTCTGCTCATTATAAAGTGCCTATGATTATCACGTAAGCCTACAACAGAGATAGTTCATTCACATTAAAACATAACACAGAATTCTTAAATAAAATGCCTCAATGTTAGTGTTCTACTGAAATACTACCAAATTGACCAAATTTCTAGCTTGCACAGTGTAAATGCAACTGCTTTGAGCTAAAGATCAATTTTAGAAGAAATATTATATTAATACTCCCCAGCGACCATTCATTTAAATACCTGAATCTAGATGCACAATCACATATAAGCTCAATTTTATCTACAATTATTATACTTAGATGGTTTACTGTTCATTATTGGGAATAAACATAATTAATATACACAGCACAGTGAAAGTGACCACTGGTCACCTGACTATAAGAATCCTCAGGACATGATAAAGGGTCATGTATCTTAAAGGTAAGAGCAATCTGATGACTAACTTTTCGTTTGAGGCAGTTTATCTACAATTCAAAAAGCACTTTCAGTGGTTAAGCGCCAAAGCATCTTTTTCATGATCAGCAAAAGTGGCTGGAATTTAATTAAAATAGACTCTTTTAACTATAAATAACTTAACAAATAGTTTTAAATCTATGGCTAACATCATAGAAATAATAACTAAATAATGTAAGAAGTAGAATTATCAAAACACTTGAGAGAACACAGCTCTGCTTGGAGGGCTCCATGGAGGAAGGGCCTCATTTTCAAGAAAGGAATGACGTTTCTTTCCTTTCCGTTCAATTCTTTCCTGCCTTTCTTTCTTTTCCTAAAAAGAAAACAATAAATTTATATACATGTATAAACGGGACAAAATAATCCATTATAAGGCCCTCGCCAGGTAGCTCAGTTGGTTAGAGCATCATCCTGACCGCCGAGGTTTCAGGTTCGATTCCCGGTCAGGGCACATACAAGAAGCAACCAATGAATGAATGAATAAGCGGAACAACAAATGGATGTGTTTCTCTCTCTTTCTGACATCAATAAATGAAAAAAATAATAATCTGTTATAAGATATTTAAATGGCATTTCCTAGTTTAATTGGTTATAAAGGTATTAATAGAAGCTAGGTAATATTAATAATTTATAAGCCTACTGTATTAATACACCACTTAATTTTTTAAACATTAAAAGTGATATTTTAAAAGAATTATGTAAACCAGGAAAAAAGACCTGTAATTCCATAATTCAAAGACAATAATTACTGTAAGTTTGTGATCACTTTCTGAGAACAGGTTCTCAGAAATAAACTTATAGGGTGCAAAAGTTGACTACGCCACAGCAGCAAGGAATAGTTCAGATTTTTTACAAATAATAAAAATTGAGCCTCGTGTTTCTTTGCTTATTGGTTTATTGATTTTAGAGAGAGATGAAAAGAGAGGGAGAGAGATGGAAACACTGATGAGAGAGAACATCGATTGGCCTCCTCCTGCATGACCCCCCTGGGGATTTGGCCCACTCGCTGGGCATGTGCCCTGACTGGGAACTGAACTGGTGACTCTTGGTGCATGGGTTGATGCTCAACCAGAGCCACATTGGCCGGACTTATGCTATATTTTCTATTGCAACTTCCTTTTTTTAATTCATCATATTTCTAAGATTCACCTACATGGAGTTGTGGCTCTAGTTCCCCAATGTATAGAATTTCATCATATCAACATATCACAATTTATGAATCAATTGTTGTGTGAAGACATGTTCTCATTTCCCCCTGAACAGAAATAATGCGGCTATAAACACCCTTGTTTATTCCTTGTGCTTGTAAGTCAAGATATGCTCTCCATGTATATGTGTAGGAGTGAAGTTGCTCATTTGTAGGGAAAGAATATGTTCAACTCTGCTGGAAAATGTATTCTCCAAAGCAGCTGTAGGAATTCACCCTCCAACCAGCACCTACACTTTTTATTTTGATATATTAATGCTTTTAAATTTAGTATTTCTTTTGTTATTTCTTATAACACCTTAAGGTTTTAAAAAGCCTCTCTTTACCATGTGATTTGATAGATAATACATTTTATTTCATTTTAGTTCTATTGTTTGGCATTTTATATTTAACACTTTAATTCTTTTGGAGTTTCTATTGCTGTAAGGAATTCTAAGTGATTTATGTGAAAATGTCACATAAATAATCCCAACTGTTTTTTCCTTGAATTCATTAATTAGTGTTACTCTGCTACACCTATAGCACATCCTTACTTGAATTAGGTTCTAGGGTGGCCTGTGGGTCCATTATTCTACTGGTACTATACTGCTTCAATTTGTATTTATTCACTCAACTGTTGAGCACTGAGATCCTACTTAGGGTCAAGCAGTATACTGGGCACCACGTGTAAAGTTATTATAAAATCCAAATACACAGATACAATCCTTCTCCCTAGGCAACTTGTAAAATAGACAGTTAATAAACAAAAAAACAGGCAATTCAAATTATTTGAATTTTTATAAAACATGTAAACAAACTGTTGTGCTTGCTAAAGACGAAAAGGGAGTACTTTCTAAGATAAGCGGATTCAGGAAAAGTCATTGGAACAAAGACAGTGGAAAGTTGGTAGGAGAAGCCACCCGCGATGTGCATGAAGACAGCATCACGCTCAGAGGACAGGTACGGGCCTCTGGAAAGGGGGAAAACACTGGGCATGTGAGCGGACGCAGAGACCCGGTGTGAATAAAAGCTGGTGGAAGATGGGAGAGGGGCACCAGATGAGAACAAAAAGTAGGTGAGCCCTGGCCGGTTTGGCTCAGCGGTTAGAGCGTCGGCCTGCGGTCTGGAGAGACCCGGGTTCGGTTCCCGCTAAGGGCACGTGCCTCGGTTGCAGTTTGTCCCGGGCCCTGGTTGGTCGTGCGGGTGGCAGCCACTCGATGTGTCCCTTCACGTCGATGTTTCTCTCTCTCTCTCTCCCTCCCACTCTATCTGTACAAAAAATGGAAAAATACCCTCGGGTGAGGATAAAAAAAAAAGTAGGTGAGTAAGATTATGAGGCCATGCAGGCCATGGTAACCGTTAGGACACAGGTGGGAAAAGAGAAGTCAACAAGTGACTCAGAAGAATATATTACTTATTTAAAAATTAATAATGCATATTTATATTGATATTTTAAAATGGAAACCAGTATTCGATAGCAATGAAAAGTAACTATAAACATAAGTATACTGAAACAAATAAGAAATATAAAAAACAAAGAAAAATAAATAAAATCTCTCCCCAAATTCATTTGATTTCTTTCATTAAAAAATACCTAAACAGCCCTGGCCGGTTTGGCTCAGCGGTTAGAGCGTCGGCATGCGGTCCTGAGAGACCCGGGTTCGGTTCCCGCTAAGGGCATGTACCTCGGTTGCAGTTTGTCCCCGGCCCTGGTCGGTTGTGCGGGTGGCAGCCACTCGATGTGTTGTCCCTTTCACATCGATGTTTCTCCCTCTTTCTCTCTCTCCCTTCCACTCTACCTGAACAGAAAATGGAAAAATGTCCTCCAGTAAGGATAAAAAAAAAAAAAAAATACCTAAACAACCTGGCCAGTGTGGTTCAGTGGATTAGGGTCAACCCATGGACTGAGAGGTTCCGGTTCGATTCCCAGTGAGGGCACATGCCCGGGTTGCAGGCTCGGTCCCCAGTAGGGGTTGTGCAGGAGGCAGCCAATCAATGTTTCTCTCACATCGATGTTTCTTTCTCTCCCTTCCTCTCTCTAAAAAATCAACGAAAACACGTTAAAAAAAAAATCCTAAACAAGACCTTCTCTTTGAGTTCATCAGAAAGATCAAAGGAGAAAAAAACGTAATAACTTTCTTACCATTAAGTTCAGTGTTAGTGTGTGTCATGACCAAGTTCCATCTCTTATAATCTGGCGAACCTTCAGTAGTCAGCTTTCTGTGATTTTAGATGTGAAAATCATTGCAAAGGAAGAATATGTGTGACTGGCTAGGTAATTAACTGTGGGGATGCAGGTAAGGAAGAACATTATGACTGAAGTTTTAAGCCTGAACGCTTTAGGGAATAGTGGAAGCATTGATAGAAATAAGTAAATCAAAGAAATATGACATATGTAGGAGAAGAGAATGAATTCAACAGGGTATCTTCCAGACAGAAATAGTCAATAGGCAGGGACAACTAGAACTGAAATTAGAGACAGAAATGTCACCCAAAAAGTACATTTGAAAGATATGAGTGCATTAACAAACAAAACCTACCAGCCACTTTTCATATTCATCAATAGCTTGTTTATCTTTATCCTTTTTCTCAGCTTTTTTCAGTTCTTCTTTTCTTTTCTCACTGATTTTCTCTTTTCCCTTTTCTTTGAAAAGAGCTTCCTTTTTCTCATTCCTATGTAGGATAGCATAAAACACTGGAAAGTTAAAGGAGAACATATAATAAAAATTTTCCTACTATATTTTTGCAATAATGAGATTGAGATGCATTAGTAAGTATCAAGTGAATAAGTTTGAAAAATCCTAGTGTTATTAATTAAAATCTATCAAAATACTTCTTATTTGGGATTACCACTTCTCCACAGCGGTTAGGTTGTCCCTCCTCTTCTCAGCAATAGCTTCCTCCTCCTTCTGTTTCTTGGCTCTTTCATATTCTTTCTCCTTTTTATTTTTCTCTCTAAGATATTCCATCTTTTTTTCTTTCCATCTTTCAAAAGCCTGAAAAAGTTCAAAATGGTTTTCGGCTTTATTGTAAAATCAGTAAAAACACAGTCAATCACTAATTTAGATTTTAAATATGTGAAAATAATTAAGACGTTTAAAGCTGTCAGATACTTGTTGTGCTTCTTCTTTCCTCGCGGCATTTTCTTCTTCGGTTTTCTTCTTGTTTTTGTCTTCGAGCCTTTTTCTTGCAGCTATTTTCTTAGCTTCTTTTTCCTTCATAGCCTTCCAGGCCTCAAACGATGCTAAGGCTTCTTCTCTCTTAGCAGCTCTTTTCTGTTTTGGAGAAACAGTAGACAGTTATGTGTATGTACAAATAGCTAGACAAATATAGCTGAATACATACACATATATATTTATCTTTAGTTTCCTCAAAATGCATCGTATATAGAAATGATGTTCCAAAGCAGATCATGTATTTAAATGGTTTATGCAAATTAATTTATGGAAAATTTATTCTGAATTATTACTTGCATTTTAAAATGTGCAGTGCATTTATTTTTTAAGTGTACCGCACAAACTTTTTCAAAGTAGACTGACTGTAACAGGCTCAGTGGTACTGTAAAATGTTTATAATAAAATATTTAAGTAAAAGAAAAACAGCAAAGTACTACGCTTGTCTGAGTAAGGGAATTTGGCCACATCACACAGTAAGCTGCAGATCTCTGCTTTGAACAGTTTGGACTGATATCAAAGCATAACATTCTTACTACATAAACATATTCCGAATGCTGAACGCGTGTGGCAGGCTGGAAAATATGTAGGTGAGTGGATAGCAAGTATGTTATTATGTTACTTATTTCAATCTAATCTCATAATATCCTGTGCTTGCCTTAATACTGGCTAACGTGAAATGATATAAAGACTTATGGAGATAACATAATTTAGAAGCAGAAGGACTGCCTACCTCACTGAGTTGTGAAGATCAAATGAGAAGTGTCTGGCACTGACCACGGCAGTAAGATGCTGCCAATGTGTTCTCAGGTGTGTGCGGCACGCCCCCTGCAGGCCTGCTCCTTACAGCATTGTGCATTTGGGGAACATGCTTCTTTCTAAATACATTTTAGTGCTAGACAGCATAACGTTTTGTGTTGGTTTTTTTGTTTGTTTGTTTTTTCAGGGCTTTGATTTTAGAAGATGGGAAAGAACTGAGCATGTTATAAGATGTGAGTCAAGAGCTCAGGTACAGGGTTGGTCTTAAAGATACATATGAAATCCAAGTTAGAAAGAGGAAAACTGAAGGTTATTGCTGAGGACCCTATATATTCTTGGCCAAGTTGTAAGATTAAAATCAGTTTTTAAGAGTGAAGTAGGTAGGTGTTCACAAGCAATATGGTCATAATCAGTAATGCCAAAGCTATTCCACACATATAAAAAATAAAAACCTCTGTGTATCTATGTTTTCATGTAAAACAGTTATAACATACTTATATCAACCAAAAATGTATCAAGTTCCAGTCAAATAAAATCAGAAATCAATTCTTTTATATACAGGTTATTTTGCCATTTAAAAAAACAGTAAATTTAGAAGTATTAAATACTCAGAGATATTTCATTGACTTAAGAATCAAGAATATTTTTCACTTCTGTATTTCAGAATACCTGTTCATTTTGGATCCTTAAGTTTTCACTTTCGATCCTTTTAATTCTGTGCTTTTCATTTATATATATTTTTTTCTTTTCTAACCACTCCTGTAAGAACAAGAAAAAAGCTATGATATTCGAAGTTTCCCAAATGAATTTGATTCTTATCTACTTCTGAAATATTTGATTAAAATTTTAAAAAGCAAAACAGAATTTATAAATTCTATATAAACTAGTATCATTTCTTCTGATAATGTTCTTATATATAAAGATGAGAATAGCCCTGGCCAGTTTGGCTCAGCGATTAGAGTGTTGGCCCGCGGACCAGAGAGGCCTGGGTTCGGTTCCCACTAAGGGCATGTACTTCGGTTGCAGTTTGTTCCCGGCCCTGGTTGGGGTTGTGTGGGTGGCAGTCACTCGATGTGTCTCTCTCACATCAATGTTTCTCTCTCTCTCTCTTCCTCCCTCTCTCCCTCCCGCACTATCACAGGAAAAATACCAAAAAAAAAAGATGAGAATTAAGAAAATTGCTATTTTTCTTAGTATTAACAATAGACTTCAAAGATTAAATATAATAGTAACATATATGAACATTCTTCTCTGAAATTCACATGTACTGCTTTTCAAAGTTTATTATTCTGTATGACAAAAAATATATAATTGTGAAAAAAATTAAGAAATCTTAATTCAAATATAAACTCTAAAAAAAATGTAAAACTTTGTATGTTCATAACAATAAAAACTTAAAGAGAAAAAATATAAAAACATATACAGACTTTAAAAATATTTCTTCTTTTGCTATATTTTTATAAATTGCCATGGTATATTTCTTTCTTTAAAAACTATGGTGATCACCCGGCTGGTATGGCTCAGTACAGTGAGGATCATCCCATGGACTGAGAGGTCCCATTTAGATTCCTGGTCAGGGCATGTGCCTGGGTTTCAGGCTCAATCCCCAATAGGGGGTATGTAGGAGGCAGCCGATCCATATTTCTCCCTCACATTGATGTTTCTATCTCTCTCTCCTTTCCTCTCTCTCTAAAAAGTCAATTAAAAAAACAAAACTATGATGATGAATTAAGCAAAGCTAAGAAGGGAATAATTTTGCAAAAAAAGGTTTTGGATTGTGCAGGTGTTGTAAAGGAAAATCAATCCCAATAAATTAAATATTAAATCATCATTATTGACAAGGTCATGTTATGCCTTGATAAACAGATAACCTTATGTGATTAGTTGTTACAATTGATTTTGTTTTTTACTTTTTACCTGATAAACAGCTGCCCTTATGTTATCGGCTCTGTCAGGTTCTATGTTCTGTTTCTGTAAGGGCTTCTGGTCCAAGACTTTCAAAGTCCCTAAATAGTGAGAAGAGGTAGTTTTCGACGGAGTTCTCCTTACAGAATTAGAATTCTTCAAAAATTCAGAGGTCATTAATCTGAAAAGATCCAAATAAATCAAGATAAAATGTTACAACTGCACTTGGTAGAAAGATTTCTTAGAATTTACAACTACTATATTTGAAAATTACATTCTAACTTAATAAATTATAATTGCTTTGAAAATGATGTATAGTCTTTTCTTAATATACAGAGAAAATTAATTACATTCAACATAATTTAAATTTTATAACTTCCAGTCATATAGCTGGAAAATAATTGCTCTTTTTAGGTATTTGTAAGTAGAGCATGTTAAAGAAATCTGGATTGTATCTCAAGTTAGGTGGGGGGAAAAACAATATTAATAAAGTAGGTTTTAATAGTTTCTTGTGTTATTTTGTCACATAAACCATTCTAAATATAAAGTAAGAATCTTATCCTCTACTTCAGGGTTGGTGGAAAAATCTGGCCTGCCATCTGTTTTGGTAAATAAAGTTTCTGCAACACAGCTAGCTACATTCATTGATTCACATATTGTCTATGGCCGCTCCCTGGCTGCCGCAGAACTGAGGAGTCACAACCACGGCTGGATGGCCCACAGGGCCTGACAAACACACTCACTGGCAGCTTACAGAGACTGTTTGCTGATCCCTGTTCTTGTTGATTAATGATCATTTCATTAATGATCATTTAAAAGATTCCTGAGATTTTAATTAGCATTTATATTATCAGTGTTTAGTAAGACAACTTAGTCCATAGAACCTCAAGGCTTTGAGTATAATTTTTCATGTGTTAGTAAAAGACACTTAATAGAGAAACATAATGCTGGACCTCAGCTTTATGACCACTTTATAGCTACAGTCGCAGGAAAAACAGGAAAAAGAAACTCTATCCCAGAAGCAACGTAGAGTGTGGAAAATCCTTTTCGATTCCTTTTTATTATAGAACATAACCAACTGAGGGGTTTTATCGTGAAGAAACTACTCCATTTGTCTCATGAGATGGAAATCAAGAGACAATCAAGTAACACTGAATGCAATTTACTTTACAAAAGTTCAATGAAAACTAACTTTGTGGAATGTAAACCCATAAGTCAGAAATAATGGTAACTTTATTACCTGCCCGAGGCACTGGATGCTCTATTATTTGTGGACTTTTTATTCTTCATATTTCTATCTTCGATTGTTTTCTATTAAACAGAAAAAGCCAGAGATGAATTATTCACCACAACCAGCACAGAGGTCAAAATGTCAGTAGTAAACAAATGTTTCTTAAACTTCTACTAGGGGTCAAGTACACTGGAATCAAAGGATATTACATTTTAGAGAGGGTTGGCGGACAGTAAAAAGACAAACAGATGTGACTCATGAAAGGGTCCAGTGACAGAGGTGAGGGAGGGCCTTCCTGAGGGCTTGACCTCAGAGCTAAGAAAAACGAAGAGTCGGAAGGAGCCACTAGGGCTGTGGAAAGAAGGAAGCAGTCAGGGCTAAGGAAGCAGTAAGCAAGCCGGAGAAGGGAAAGAGCTCGGCAACTCCGAGAAACAGAGAAAGGTGAATGCTGCTAAGCACAGTGAGCAGCAGGGAGCGGGGCCAGTACACAGTCAGAGACGCGTCCCTGGGAATCTTGAGGAAGGGGTAAGGAGTCTGCATTTATTTGCATGATGAGAATCCAAGAAACAGAATGGTTTGATTCAGAATCCTTCGCAGCAGAATGATTTGATTCAGACTTAAGAAAGATCACTCAGCCCTGGCCGTTTTGGCTCAGCGGTTGGAGTGTTGGCCCGCGGACCAGAGAGGCCCGGGTTCGGTTCCCGCTGGGGGCACGTACTTCGGTTGCAGTTTGTCCCCGGCCCCGGTTGGGGTTGTGTGGGTGGCGACCACTCCAAGTGTCTCTCTCATGTCGATGTTTCTCTCTCTCTCTCTTTCTCCCTCTCTCCCTCCCACTCTATCTCAAGATGAATGTAAAAATGTCCTTGGGTGAGGATAAAAAAAAAAAAAAAAAGATCGCTCAGTAGTGATTAAGAGCAAAGCCAAGAATAAATTCAGTCATAAGAAATATGTTGTGATTTTACTTTTTATGATCATACATAAGTTACCTGTTTTCATTTAGAATTACCTGTTATACATTTCTAAGATCCTGTCTATAAATTCCAGAATAAACTCCTTCCTGTTTAGGAATAACTTTTCTTCTCTATACAGACAGATGGGTGCTAGCGTTACAGATGCAAACATATGCCTACTTTGGCATCAGTGTTTTTTCCCAAGGAAGGTGGTTAAGGACAGTATATCTGAAATAAGGTTTAATGAACCCTCTCTATAGATTTCAATAAAAAGCTCATATTCTGTATCATAAGAAAGCCCTATTCAACCACAAGTGTTCAGCTAGCACTGTCATCTTTCCCAATAAAAAATACACATAGCCACCAGCTAACTGCAGCTGTAAGAGACTAAATTCAGAAGAAATAAAGACTAAAAATGCTATGCCATACATTTTTAAATATAGCACTCTGGGGCAATACAGTAGGAACAAGTAATCCTACACACCACAGGTTTGGTTCTCAAGGTTATAATAAAAATGTTTCTGATAATGACCCTGTCCATCCATTTTAATAAGTATGGATATGGATAAACATTTCTTCTTAAAGATTTTCATTAAAATTTATAAAATGTTTAAAAATGATATCCAAATAAATAACTTTCAAAACCTTGGAAATTGTTCCAGATGGCTGCATTTTTTGCCCAGCCTGTATAGCTCAGTGGTTGAACATCGACCCATGCACCAAGAGGTTGCTGGTTTGATTCCTGGTCAGGGAACATGCCCAGGTTGTGGGGCACGCAGGAGGCAGCCAACTGATGTTCTCTCTCATCGATGTTTCTTTTTTTTTTTTTATCCTCACCCGAGGACATTTTCCCATTTTTTTGTTCAGGTAGAGTGGGAGGGAGAGAGAGGAACAGAGAGAGAGAGAAACATCGATGTGAAAGGAACACATCGAGTGGCTGCCATCCACACGACCGACCAGGGCCGGGGACAAACTGCAACCGAGGTACGTTCCCTTAGCGGGAACCGAACCCGGGTCTCTCAGGACTGCAAGTCGACGCTCTAACCGCTGAGCCAAACCGGCCAGGGCTCATCGATGTTTCTATCTCTCTCTCCCTCTCCCTTCCTCTCTCTCTAAAATCAATAAAGAAAAAAATAAAATTAAATAAAAACAAATGATATCCAAAAAAATAACTTTCACTAATTAAAACCTCGTAAATTGTTCCAGATGGCTGTATTTTTAAATGAAGGCCTATAGAAGTCTATTTACTTATGGTTATGTATTTCTGAGATATCTAAAAGTATATTATGATCATATACTTCTGATAATTTTTTTATCCTCACCCAAGGACATTTTTGCATTTATCATCAGATAAAGCAGGAGGGAGAGAGGGAGGAAGACAGAGAGAAACATCGATGTGAGAGAGACACATCAACTGGTTGCCACCCACATGGCCCCAACAGGGGCCAGGGACGAACTGCAACCGAGGTGCGTTCCCTTAGCAGGAACCGAACCAGGGACTCTTTGGTCTGCAGGCTGAAGTTCTAACTGCTGAGCCAAACCAGCCAGGGCTACTTCTGATAATTTTTATGAAATAAAAGGTTTTATTATATTCATTGCAATCTTCCTTGAAGTTAAAATTCTATTGAATTAAATAAGAACCACCTGACATTAGGGTACCACCATTGAAAGATGAGTGTTCCACAGATAACTGAGAAATACCAAACATGGAAGACAAAATATTTAGAAGTTGTATTCTGAGTTTTAAGCTATAGTATAAAAGGTATAATTTTATATAAATACCTCTGCAGATTCAGTTGCCTTGATAGATCTTAAGTTATGCTGAGATAGTGGTGGATCAACTGTTAAGTCATCATTCATAATCAGTTCAGGTTTCTCCTTTTTCTCTTCAAGGTCATCAGTAGCCACTTGCCCTTCCTTGGTTTTCTCAAGTGCAGTAGTAACAAAATCTATCAAAAATGAATTATCTTCATTTTTGGCTGATTTCAAGGAAGGATGGCTTTCAGTGAATTCTTCATTCTGATCTATTTTGAGACAGAGTAACAGCACTAAAACGCCACTGTAAATTAATAAGGTGGATAACCGATTCATTTGCTTTCCACTAGATGACATTAATCCCTTTGTCTTGCAAAATAAAGTATGAAGAAAACTATCACATTCAACTTGAATAAACTTTTTTTTCCAAAGTGATCTACAAAAGAGAAAATGGTTACTCAATCTAGTAAAACATCTGGCATACCTAACATGTTGAAAAAAATATCACATTAGTAAATAGAATGGAATAACTACCCTACACCAAAGACACACCGAAAGCACTTGTATAAACTCGGTAAGTCAGATGGCGATATCTGTTCTCTTCACAAGCCGCCTGTTTCTTAGCTGGAAGAAGAGGCTGTGTAAGTAGGAGGCACACATCTCTATGCTACAATTACTAGCAGTGCAGATGAAAAATTGTGTAGATGCAAGGAGAACCAAAACTTAATGTAACTCTAGTAGCATCCAGTCCACCACACAGAGAATACGACTACCCTCTGAAGAGTCTTATTCCCACTAAGACACGGTGTTGCCTCTGATACCAAGGGGCACTGAAGGCAGGCCTACAACTTATCCTCCCAGTGCTCCAAGGGGCAGGTTCAAAACGTGAGGATTCAGTTTTGCTTTTATAGATTTGCTTCTATTATTCTTTTTTATTTATTTTTTAAATTTTTTCTTCTTTACTGTTTTTTAGTGAGAGAAGAAGGGAGAGGGAGAGAGATGAAAATATCGATGAGAGAGAACATCGATTGGCCGCCTCCTGCGTGCCCCCCACTGGGGATCTGGCCCACAACCTGGGCATGTGCCCTGACCGTGAATTGAACTGGTGACCTCTTGGTGCATGGGTTGATGCTCAACCACTGAGCCACATGGGCTGGGCTTAATATTTTTTTCTTTATTGATTTTTAGAGAGAGGAAGGGAGAGGGAGAAAAAGAGAAACATCATACTTCTATTATTCTAATTCTACAAGACTTCGGAATTCTCAACAGAAAGAAATCAGAGCTTTCTGAGTTGGTCACCAACTTTCACTTCCATTGGGATCCACCTACTGGGCAAACCTGTATCTTACTGTCAATGCCTTAATTCTGCTGCCTTCATTACAGCCGTTTCTTAACTTAGTTTGAGGTATGCTAGATTTAAAGGTCACTTTATAATTAGTTATACATTCACATTTGGAGAGCATGTATGACTCAAAGTATCATTAATGGATTCTTTACACATGCTGGTCAGTGTACTCAGTGAAACTAGGGCTATGGAGCCAAAGAGTCAAATTACGGCTCTATCGCTGGCCTTCGGTATGTTTCCTAATATCTTCGTATTTCAGTTTTTCTCATCGGTAAAATGACAAAAATTATACTACACAGTAATCACTTAATAAATGTTAATTACCGAGCCCAGCCGGTGTGGCTCAGTGGTTCAGTGTTGACCCATGCACCAAGAGGTCACCAGTTTGATTCCCAGTCAGGGCACATGCCCAGGTTGTGGGCCTGATGCCCAGTGTGGAGCATGCAGAAGGCGGCCAATCAATGTTCTCTCTCATCAATGATTCTATCTCTCCCTCTCCCTTCCTCTCTCTCTAAATTCAATAAAGAAAAAACAATTTTTTAAAAAATGTTAATTACCCACCCAGTCCTGGAAACAGCTATACCTTTAGCTCTCGTTAAACTATATGTCATAGAACTAAAAAAAGAAATAATGTTAGCAACTCACAGTCACACTCACTATGTGTTTACTAGGTACTGGTCAAAGTACTTTACACGTATTATTAACCCACTGAATTCTTACAACCACCCTATGAGGTAGGTTACTCTTATTTTCCCCATTTTAAAGATCAATATATAGCCAGGCCAGTGTGGCTCAGTGGTTGAGTATCGACTCATGGTTGCTGGTTCAATTCCTGGTCAGGGCACATGCCCAAGATGTGGGCCAAATCCCCAGTGCGGGGCATGCAGGAGGCGGCCAATTGATGTTCTCGCTCATCAATGTTTCTATCTCTCTCTCCCTCTCCATTCCTCTCTCTCTTAAAATCTATAAAAAAATTTTTTAAAAGATCAATATATAGGGTGAGAGAGGTTAGTTACTTGGTTCATGGAGTTGTGCCTGGATTCCAATCCAGCTTAGTCTCACTCTAGTAGCCCACCTAACCATTATGCTGTACTGCAGGCTACTGCAAAAACACATACAGAATAACAGTTCACCGTGCATGATCATTCTGCTGGGCCGAGAGCTGGGCTAGTGGCTAAAATGCAGAGTATGACTTAATTTTCATAATAGCTTTGAGACTGCAGCTGGGAAAGTTGAGGCACTGAGAGATTAAGTTCTGCATCTCAAATCACATGGTTAGTAAATAGCATGCTTGGTATTTAAACTCAGGCACACACAACCTGTACTATTCCTGTAACTACGTAAAGTACAGGGGTAGGCAAATGTAGGTTTACAGTTGTGAGGATGAGAAACAGTTTATTCTTGCATTATTATTTATTTGTATTACAATTGTGAACCTACTTTTGCCCTCGTCTGTATTGTTTCATTTTTTTTTTGTGGTACGTGCCCCTACCAGGAACCGAACTCAGGACTCTCTGGTCCGCAGGACGATGCTCAACCGCTGAGCCAAACTGGCCAGGGCTGTATTGTTTCTTTTATGAATAGAATTTATAAAATTATAAGCGATAGCATTCACAAGATATAAAAATCTAATATAATCACCTTTTATAGATGTTTTTTCCTCAGATCCTGGTGAAAAGGAATCTTCAAGATTTTCTTTAAGGGATGATGATGATAAACTTGTTAACCATGGATCCTGCTTAAAATTTAAAAAAAAGTTCAGTTCTCAAGATTTATGGAAGACAACAGCATTATTAAGACTATTTCATAACTCTGAAATCTGCATTACTAAGAGTTTACTGCTGAAACACCAAAAGTTTGTTAAACTAACAGAGGCTAATATTGCTTTACTTTCCAGCCTTGGTGTTTTGATCATTAAAAGGGGTCACCAGAGAGCTATTCTAGTTCTTTTTGTTGTTGTTAATCCTCACCCAAGGATATTTTTTCCATTGATTTTTTTAAAGAGAGTAGGAGGGAGGGAGGAAAAGAAAGTAAGAGAGAGAGAGAGAGAGAGAGAAAGACAGAGACATTGATGTGAGAGAGACAAATTGATTGGCTGCCTCCTTCATGTGCCACTGGGGACTCAAACCTGCAACCCAGGTAACATGCCCTTGACCAGGAATCAAACCCACAACCCTCTGGTCTGTAAGCTGATGCTCTAACCACTGCACCACGCCGGCCAGGGCTATTCTAGTTCTTCAGTGGACGCCTCTACATTTGTTTTTACCAGTTGCTAAAACTTCTACTGCTCTAAAGTCAAATCTCATAAATATTTAAGATCAATATTTGATATCTATTTCTCTAGTTTCCTAAGACAGTAGGTAAAAATCTTTACTTTCAAACAAATATTACTAGTCATCTAAATAAAAGCAACAAATATTACTAGTCATCTAAATGAAAGCAATTATAAAACCAAGTACATAGCTACTTACAAATATTTGAGATTTGCAAAAGTACAGATTTCACATACTTCAGTTTTCCTCAAAATTTTAAAAATTACAACTAAAATGAAGTAATTGTATTTGTGTGTCTAAACCAAATATTTCTTTATAGGACAGTAATCTAACCAAAAAGTGATGATATGATAAAGTAAGACATTTGCTCTTGTTGCAAAATAAATGAATTTTCATTTTTTCTATGGTATTTTCTGGGAACAAAGAAAATTATGTCCAAAGCAATAGACAGAGACCACCTGGGAAAATGGCAGAAGGGCTGACACACTGGAGCAGACTTGAGAGACAAAGCTCTGCCTGAGGGGATTTGTAATGTGGTAGCTTTTTGCCTCGGGGCCTTCTGCCATGGTGTGGTTCCTTAGAAGGCTGCGGCCTTACTGAACTGGCTTGGGGTGGGGGAGAGGGTCAAAGGCCAGAGTTTAGGTCTAGAAGATCAGAGAATATGTTTGGTTCATACACAGAGGGCATAAAGCCCAAAATCTGCATATAAAATTCACTGAGCCCTGGCCAGCTTGGCTCAGTGGTTAGAGCGTCGGCCTGCGGTCCGGAGAGACCCGGGTTTGGTTCCCGCTAAGGGCATGTACTTCGGTTGCAGTTTGTCCCCGGCCCTGGTTGGTCGTGCGGGTGGCAGCCACTCGATGTGTCCCTTCACGTCGATGTTTCTCTCTCTCTCTCTCTCTCTCCCTCCCACTCTATCTGTACAAAAAATGGAAAAATATCCTCAGGTGAGGATAAAAAAAAATAAAATAAAATTCACTGAAACCCTTGGCTCACATATTCATGGCATGGGAGGGTCTCAGAGGGTCCTGCAACGTCACAGCAGCTAGAAACTGGGAGCACTAAGCGAGGTTTTAGTCCACATTCCTGATCACAGTAGCATGATGGATGAGGCAGTATATGGAGCTCTATTATTACAAGGTTTCTATATTGAATGTGAAATAATATAGTATCAACTCTGAGTAGACTGTGATAACTTACAGATGCATCTTGTAGTCCATAGAGAAACTACTAAAACTAGAATGCAAATGGGTATAGCTGAAAATGCAAGAGAGGAATCAAAACAAAAAATTAAAACTATGTAATTAACTCTTTTAAAAAGGCAATAAAGGAGTTCTAGAGAAACAATAACAACAATATCAATTAAGAAACAGACAAAATAAATAGAAAACAAACAGCAACCAATCGGCCCTAAGTGTACTGACATTAAAACTAAACACTCATAAATGGTCTAATGGACTCATAAATGGACTCCCATTAAAACGCAGATTGTGAGACTTAATAAAAACATGACATCAAACTGTTATCACAAGAGAGTCACTTAAAGAAAAAGACACAAATAGTTTGAAAGAAAAATGACAGAAAAAGAGTTCCCAAGCAAACGCTAGTCATAAAAAAGCTGACATACCAGACAAAATGTAAGGCCTTATAAACTCCAGAGACCGAGAGTAACCATGTTGGACTGTTTGAACATACAGTTCCTAACTGAAAGGGGGTCATGGTAAATAGTCATATCCTAGGCCTGTGGCTTCCTTGATAAAGGCCAATCTTTACCTTAGGTGAGCCTGTCTACTGTCTTTGCATCTGAGATAAGGTATCTTTGAAATGTCAGGGCAATATCCTTTTCCAGATCCTCAGGGCGCACCCACCTCACCAGAGCCAGAGGCCACAGAACCCCTCTGTTATTTGTTTCCTGAATACCGTCCCCAGGTGCTGTAAATGTTAATTATTCACTACCCTGTACCCACCAATGTCTGTTTTACTTTCTCTCCAGTCCCAGAGACTTCCCTGCTTTGCTTTCTCCTACTCCCTCATCTACCATCAGTGGATTTCACGGGACCCTCCTAACCTCCTCCTTTGAATCTAATGTATAAGATAAGCTGTGAAACTGCCCTTCTTCAAAGCATTTTCTCAATCTGTTGAGATTTTGCTTCCTGGCAATCATCGCCAGTTTGGTTCAAATAAAATTCTCTACAGGTTTAGACGTTTCGTACATCAATACCATAAATTACATATCTCAAAGATAAATAATATAAATTCTTATAATTAAAGATAAAAAAAATATTGCATAGACTCAAAAGGGCAACTTGTTTTTTCACATTTTACTTTCTCTGAAATCAGATGATTATAAGTACTGGTGTGTCATGGCTTATTCTCTCTTGGCAGTAAACAATATGCTATCTCTTCACTATATCTTCCAAATGATGGAGTTTCCGACTCAATGGAATACAGTATATTGAAGAAACAAAACGTTAAATCATTTCCTTATCAACTGCTGAAGAAAACATGTCACACACACACACACACACACACACACACGCACAAAGATTCTCTCTCTCATGATTAGGTGCAAAGGCCTGAATTCGAGAACACAGCCCAGCAGTTCAGCTGGGGTGCTAACCTCAGGATCAAGGTCTTCAGAGGACGCTTTTTTCTCAGCTTCTCGCTGTCTGTCATTTGGCCCCAGGAGGGACGAAGATGCAGAATGTGTCTCTCGTTGGTCACAGAGGGCGGTTTCTTTCTCTTCTCCTGGCCCACCTTTGTCCTCCCTGAGGCTGTGCCTTTTCAACAGGCTCCGAGGTCGAGGTGAGGGTGTAAAGTGGTTTTCTGCTTCAAGGCTGCTACTGTTTCCTGCTGAAAAATAAAATGCTCTAAGGTGGGGGTACAAAAAACGACCATGGCTTCCACTGCACGCCCAGGCGCCACCACCCGTCCCTCCTGCGCCCATGCACGCGGCTGTCTGTCCTGGAGCCCAGAGGAAGCCCACAACCCTTCTGGACACAGAGCTCCACGGAGAAGTGACAGTTCATGGTCCAAATTTCAAACAATAGCTGCCATCCTGGAAGCAACTAGTTTACTTTCGTTTTGTGAGGAGTTAGCTCCTCAACATTATGAATTCTCATAGCATTCAAAAATTTAAAAATGCCCGGCCAGTGTGGCTCAGTGGTTGAGCACTGACCCATGCACCAGGAGGTCACCAGTTCCATTCCCAGTCAGGGCACATACTCAGGTTGTGGGCCTGATCCCCAATGGGGGGCATGCAGGAGGCGGCCAACAGTGTTCTCTCTCATGGATGTTTCTGTCTCTCTCTCCCTCTCCCTTCCTCTCTCTCTAGAGTCAATAAAGAACAAAAAATTTTTTTTTCAAATCTTAAAAAAACAAAATTGAAAAAAACAAAACAGAACCGTGTCCTATACAATGCGGGGGGCTCATCTATCAAACCTTTATTGAGTCCCTGCTGTCGGGCCCTGTACTCATTACTCACATTCCTGGACCTCATAATCAAGACTGTGACAATGGTCCTGTCCAAGGACTTGACAGGTGGGGAAGGGGGCCGATTCTAAAGAAATCAATCACAAGACCACGGTACGTGCCGCTACAAGTATGGAGAGGATGCAGCACAGGGGACAGACTGCCAGCTCTCACTGGAGGGTCAATGAAGAACTCCATGATGTGAGTTGTTCTCTGCATTCGTGAAACTTCTCGAGCAGTTATTAAAACAGCTCAGTTACTATTTCAATTGCTTCTAGGTTTAAAACAACAGTCTCTGGACGGTACACTTCCAGCCCTCAAAACATGATTAAGAAAGTTTCTATATAAACTTTTGGCCTAAAGTTTACCTGTTACGCATATTCATTTCTCCAGTGTTCTACCAATGCATTCTTCGGACAAAATTTCAAAGCTGGACTAATTGACACCTTCCTCCTTGCCACGTATAAATGGGCTTATGAATGCTGCTAGAAGGCTCCACAGCCATACCAGTTGTTACCAATGTAAATGTTTCATTGCCAAATTTAGCTACACCCTGTATGTTCAATCCAAACTCCGAGAGTCATCCTAGCTTCCTCCCTCTGTTCCCCCATGTCCAAGCATCACTGTATCCTATTGATTCTACTTCCTAAATCTCTCTCTCATGCATCTCACTTTCTACACTCCTGCTGTTAGCTCCTCGTCCATGCTTTACTCAGTGACTGTCTTAGTGATACTTATAAATGAAAATCAGATCACATCTCTCCTCTACACAAAAGTCAATGGCTCCTATCATACAATCCTACAGAATACAAGCTTAATTGCCTATGAACATCACAGAAGCTTTTATGGTCCTGTCTCTGGCTACTTGTGTTGTCTCATCTACTGAACACCCATTTTACAATCTGTGTTCCTGACATGCAGAGATGATGACTGTTCTGAATCAATGTCACAACCCTTCCTACTACCATACCCAATGGTCCCTCTGCCTAGAATTTTGGCTTCCTGCTTCTCCTCCTGACAAATGCTTGCATGTCTTTTGAGGCACAGGTTAAGCAGAATGTTGAATAATGCATGAAAAGGTGTTGAGTCAGTTTTTATTTCTATTGTGGTAAGAACACTTAACATGAGATCTACCCTCTCCTTAAATTTTTAGGTGCACAATACCTGTTGTTAACTAAAGGCACAGCGTTGTACAGCTGATCTCTAGAACATATTCATCCTGAAACTTTGTATCTGTGGATCAGCAGCTCCCTTTCCCCTCCCCGAGCCCTAGGCAATCACTGTTCTGCTCGGTGTTTCTATAAAGTTGATTATTGTCATATCTCATATTTAAATCTTGGCTCTGACTCATTAGCATTGTAAACTTACACAAGTCATTTAACTTCCACTACTTTGGTTGCCCATTGGTAAAATGGGCTAAGAATGAATTCCTGAGTTGCCTGTGGGACCTGAACGAGATTCTATATACGAAATGCACAGCACAGTGCCTGGTACCAGGCAATGCTCAGGGACCATTCACAACTGTGTAAACATTTCTTCTTTCTCTTTTTGGTTTTCCTATCACGTCTGTTTTCTTTGAGGTGGTCTCTCTTCCTCTCCAGCACTGTGATTGTGGTCACAGTTTCTCCTCCGTCGCTCAGTGGGAAGGGTGGGCGCTTGGTGCACACTACCACCCCCCGTACAGCTATCACAGAAGCTTCACCTCCCCTGCCCACAGCAACCAGTCGGCAGGTCAGTGCTTTTCTCTTTGGAGTCGGAGGAGATGCCTTTAAGGTTGTGGAGCTGAAAAGATGCGATATGAAGACTGCTAGTGGCCCTCTCCCCTGTATGAGACCAAGACACCAAGTGACAGAAAAACAGGCCCAAGGGATGGGTGGAGTCCCTGGGGCAGTGACAGGGGCAGGAGGAGGAGATGAGGGGGTCAGGGGGTCAGGGAGGGAGGGCAGAGTGCAGAGAGAGAGTCCAGATGACACAGAAGTACCGAGTCTCTGAACTTCATCACACCTAAGGCAAGGTCTTCGGACATCCATGCTCAGTAAGGTGATAAACTCTCCTTTCCACTGGAGTTTGTTGCAGTTGGGTCATCTGCAACCAAGAGTCCTGATTACGGGTACTATTATTGTCCCAGTTACTGCCTTTGTCACCATCTCGTCTAGGAAGCCTTCCTGATGCCCTCAGGTAAACTTAGGTGTCCACCTTCCCGTGAGATTCCTACTGTCCCTTTTGTACACTTCCCCACCAAACTGTAGTCTTTGCTGTGGTCTGAATGTTTGTTTACCCCCAAATTCTTAGGCTGAAATCCTAACCCCAAAGGTGAGCATATTAAGAGGTAGGAACTTTGAGAAGTAATTAGGTCATGAGGGCAGACCCTTCATGAATGGGCTTAGTGTCCTTATAAAAGAGGCCTTAACCCCTCCAGCCACGGAAAGATACAATGGGAGGTCTGCAAGCGGAGGGCCCACCTGATGCTGCTAGCACTGTGGCCTCAGACTTGTGTCTCCAAAACTGTAAGGAATGGGTTTCATCTGTAGATTGCATTGTGTTCAACACCAAAAGTCAAATCTCCTTCCATCACCACATGATGTCGTATTCTTAGTAACCACCACAGTGCTCATAACATGGTGTATTCACAATAAATATGTGCGAATAAATATCTGCTTATGAGTGGAAGTTAAATAATAAAATGAATCATAAAAGCCTTTATAGAGTGCTGAATTTATGCCAAGATGGTTCTAAACACTTCAAATACATGAACTCATTCAAATGCTTCAAACCCCTAATGGTGGTTCAACTATTATCCCCATTTTATAGATAAATAAAATGAGCCAAAAAGAGGTGCTGAGCCCATGGTCATAAACTCCAGTTTGTTTAATTAAAGCAGGAGCACCCACACTCTAAAGTTCATGACTTTGGTCATGTTACTGTTAAAATAAAAACGACACACCCCATAAAAATTATTTTCTACAATCACTACCCAGCTGACATTTGCTCACGAGGACAAACAAGAACAAAGGAAACTTTCAGGTCCTAACATTTTTATAAAGCATTGATTACTACTCAGCAACATCTCACCACATTAAAAACATTAAGTTCAAAACCTTGTACGAAAAAGTCTGAAAATTAAGAGGATAAAGCTAAGCTCATGAACCACATCCCTTCTTTCATGAATGAGTCATTCATGTTTTTATTTACATATCCAATGACTACTTAATGAATTGTATATGCCAGGCACTATCTTAGGACCGTTAGCCTCAAATTTTTTGCTTTAGTCCAAAGAACCTGGGAATAATGACTTTAATATATTTTATACCAAAATGCTACTTCTAGTATTGTCAAATTTTTAGAAAGAAAAAAAAAGTTTGTATATTTTCAAAATGCAATATTTTATAATCAAATGTAAAAGATTACCTATATTGGTAATTATTTTTATATTATATATCTTGAATAGCAAATGGCTAATGATTATTTAAAAATATATGCCCAGCCAGTGTGGCTCAGTGGTTGAGCATTGACCCATGCACCAAGAGGTCACCAGTTGGATTCCCAGTCAGGGCACATGCCGAGGTTATGAGCCAAATCCCCAGTAGGGGGCATGCAGGAGGCGGCCAATGCATGTTCTCTTTCATCGATGTTTCTATCTCTCCCTCTTCCTTCCTCCCTCTCTCTCAAATCAATAAAGAAATTAAAGTGTGTATATATATATACACACACACACACATATATAGTACTGCACATTTGTGTATAGCACTTAGAATCTAGGTGCCATCTTGTGGTTAAAATACAATATTTCTATATTCATTTTAACTCACCACAGGTTAAAAAAAGAAAAGGTATTAAGTTGGTTTATTATTGCTGATTATCTATCATACGGTTATAGTTATATACTTCTACCTGTAGAACTTTTACCTTTTATATGCTCATACTTTCTCATTAGCCTAATAAAAAGCTTTTAAGAATCAAGACAAATAGAATAAATATAATCCACAAAAATAGATTTCTAAGCTCAAATAAGACTAGAACACTTCCTACTTTAGCCTTCTTAAAGAGTCACTATGCATCTTTATTAACAGCTTTCAGAAGTTCTCTCATAAATAAATCAGTTTAAGTTTTCTATAACTCTGTTTTCCCCATAATACCAATGGACAACCTATGGAATGGACTTGGGGAATGGTGACCTACTGGATTATTTACCAAGTTTGCTTATGATTCCTTCTCTCCATTTTTTAAAAATTGTATTCAGCACACTGGGAAGGTGCATTTTAGCAAGTGACTTCTGTTTCATATGCCTTGTGCTCACAACTTTGTTGCATTTTGCAGTTTATTACACGTGAATCAACTGATTCTAAAACAATTTTGTGGGATGGGAAGAGCAGGTGTTTTCCTCCTCCTCAGGAGAACACTGGGCTGAGGTCACACATAACTAATAAATGGCGTTGTTGTTATTTTCAGTGTCCTGAACACTATTCTAGTATTCCTTGCTCTGCTCCTAGCCTGTCCTCATTTGAAAGTTAATGGGATTATGGGGGAAGAAGGAATGGCTCCCTAATACATGTGCAAAATAAAATTCTGTCTGACTGTACCAGTGATATCTACTATGCAAAGTATGTAATATTTACTGGTACAATAGTTCATGTTGATATAAAAGAAAGAGGTTTTTATGAAGGTTAACATCAAGTACTATGATTCCTATAAAACAGAAAAGAAAGAAGATTGGAAGACACAAAACCCTTAACCTTCCAAGCCCGTGATTCTGTGTGGTGGTCCAGGGGACCTCAGAAGGGTTGGTTCCTGCTTCACTCCATCTTCCTTCCACTGTGCCTAGAGCTCAACAGAATAGTGGAGAAACTACTGCAATCCCAGATCACACCAGGAGTTCACGCGCAGATAACTGAGTGGAACTGAATCTTTCCTAGGGAACAGAGAAACTGAATGGAACTTCCTCCTTCTAAAGGCAAGTTGGAGCTTTAAACAACAGAAACAACACCTCCCTTCAAATATATAAATGCCAAACAATATTCTGGAAAATGCTGGCACAAAAATGATCGTTTTAAGGACGAGTCCCAGTGCTGCTATAAGTGTAATCTGTATTACGAGAAGAATCAGAAAGGATGTCATTGCAGTCCCATCCCCAAAGACAAGATTGAGGCTCACAGACTGAAGCGAGGCTGGACCAAGGAGATTCAGGAGGCAGAGCTGTGGATGACCGAAGGTACTCCGGCCTTCTCTCATGCACCAGCCTAAATGCTAGACTAAACAAACCTCTGGACATCCGAATCATGGGTTTTCTCTGTGGTTTCATTATTTGGATTTAGTCTGTAACACTGAAAAGTGAAGTCTGATTTTTTTTCTTCTTAAATATTTACCAGCTACCATATGAAGGTATTTTGTGCCTGATTATCTTAAATTTTCAACAAATGCAGTTATCGTGTTCTAACAAATTACCTGAAGAGGTGGTTTTGACTGGAAGAAGTCTAGGTCTAGGCTTCATTTCAATTTTCTCCTTTTCAGTTGCCTGGTGTTCATCAGGACATTGAGGTAAGGGAGTCACAGCCCTGTCTTCCCCACCGCCCGGCGCCGCTCCCTCGTGGTTCTTGATGGAGCTGGCTGGCTCCTCTATCATCACGTCACTGTTTGGTTTCTTGGTTTTCAAAAAAGACAGTTTGGGAGAATTCTTTTCTTCATCATCTGATATATGAAAATCATTTATTGTTTTCTTGAGTGAATTTTCATCTATGGAGGTGTCAGAAAAATCGCCTAAGGAAACTGAAAAAAAAAAAAGGAAGAAAAACGTCTACGATCGTATATCTTAAAGATTGGAAAGTTACAGTAATCAAAAGATTACCTTAAAGATTAGAAATGAACAACTTAGGCAGTTTTTATTGGCATTTATAAAATGCAAATGTACATTTCATTAATTTATTCAAAACATACTTAACAAGTGTGAATAGTCAGGCATTGTACTTGCCCTGAGAAAAATCATCCAGAGTTTCTCAAAATAACAATTGGCCATGGGATATTTAGTTTTTGGACTATAAAACTTTTATATGTTAACAACTTCATTAGAGTTTACTATGAGAAGAGTCATACAGAATGTTAACCATCTAGCAATGATTAAATGAGTCATTCATTTAATCATAAGCATTATTCATTGAATCTTAAAGTATAACACAGTGAATTTCAAGTTTAGAGTCCTGTATGTTTACACTTAAGTGTTAATATTTTTACATAATCCAAAGAAACCAAATTAAATCATACCGGTACTGATACACTGAGTTTTTATAACTGTGTGCCTTATCACAGCCCAAAAAAAGAAAAATCTGATTTATAAAAAGCATTATAAAGTTTAGTTCTATAGGCCCTAGCTATTAACTCACTGTTAAGGCTCATAGGGTTTATCCTAAAATTGAACTTGGTTTATCACTGACAGGCAACGTTTTACTGCAAACCAACTGTCACTAAATTATATTTTTATATTCACATTCAGAAACAACCAAGGACAATCATACAACTTCTTGAATATTAAAAGTGGCTTTATACTCAATAAAAAGTTGGAAATCTAAAACTAGTGAATTCATAGATATGATTTTAGCATAAGTAATTTTTTTGGAGGAATGGCTAACTATAACTAAGAAAACAAAGAGAAGGAAAGGGGTTTACTTTTCCATATTCTCACATACCAATTTCATCACTGTCAAAGTCATCTGAGTATTCAGAACTCCTTTGTCTGGCTGAGCGAGCTGTAATTGCTTTTATTAGCTCATCCTGAAATGAAATAAATAAAATCAATTTCCACCCCAAAAAAAAATGGAGGACTCAAATTTAGAATTAATTATTTAAACAAATAGTGGTTGGTTAATAATTGCTTTCAAACTCAGGTTTTATGCATCCAACAATATTCACTGAAGGCCAACCTTATGCTAGGCACCTGAGTCCCCAGGACTCAAAGCAGCACATAGCAGATAAGATTACTCTCCACGTGGAGCTTACAGTTCAGTTGGAGGAGACATACAATACCAAATAAGATAACTGAGGGTACTTTTGTTTCTGGAGATTGCAGTAATGGATGTAATCAACGTTGCAAATTTAGAGGCCGAGTTCAAAACTATAGTGACTGGACAGAGAAAACTTTAATGTTGTTATGTTACAACAGGGAAAACCCATAAAACATTTATATAAAAATACTAACTTAAAGTTGCTATTCAACTTCCAAAAGCTGATTTAACTTTTAAGTTAGTAAGAACTTATCATTTGGTAGTCTTAAACACATAGAAGAGTTTGTAATACTAGAGCCCAAACACAAACATCTGCAAAATTTTAAAAGGAATGTAAGCCTTAATCCAGCTTTATATAGGATTTTTCCTAAAATCAGTTCAAATCCAATGTTCCTAACACAGTGTTTACTTGTAAAATCATTTTAAATACTTTACCTGGAAAGTGGTTCTTTTGGTGACTTTTGGACTCTTTGTATATGCCAAAGTTGTGCTAAAAACTTCACCAGACATAGTGCATGGGGTCTTTTCCTTTACTCCTTACCTTTATAAAATAGTTAATAAACTATAGGAATAATTCAACCTCTGATGGTGGCTGAAATACAAAAACAACAACAACAAAAAAACCAATTCAGACTCTTTTGCATCCTTGAGAATTTCTAATACTAAACTTAGTGTCCTCCTCCCAAGCCAAACAAAAACAAGAAAAGCACCATATGAACACTGAACTACATCTACACTTAACAATGAAGAATTCTTGTCAAAATATATCAAACCCTCATAAGCTTGTTTTTTAAAAAATATTCAAATTGAACTTATCCTAAAATAGTCTTGCAACAATATTTTAAGGACGAGCAAATAAATGACTGCAATAGATTAAGGGGATAAAATGCTGCCAATTAAACTACAAACTTTATCTCACCTTTTTTGCATTCAAAAATTGCAACACTGCCAACCAAACAGTCCTACTTATTTAAAAGGCTACTGAGAGGATTATCAGCATAAAACATAAATAAGTGTACCACCACACACACACACACACACACACACACACACACTTGCGTTCAGCCCCAGGGAAAGAAGATCACAATGCTAAACTGCAAATAGCGACGTTTTTTCTTCCAAGCCACTTTTCCCTCCTACAACAGTGTTAATGGGGTTAGAGAAAACGAAGCTCCGCGATGCGGGGTACTCAAGTCTGGACAAATGCGCCCATGAACGCCTCTCGCACTGGGGTCGGAGCCCGGGCCTCGGGCACCCCGCCGCCCGCCGCAGCGCGCGCCCAGGGACCGCGGGGGGCCCGGCCAGGTGGCGCGCAGGTCCCCGCCCGCTGCACCGCGCGCCGCCAGCCGCGCGCCCGCCCTCGCCAGGCCAGCGCACCCTCGAGCGCCGTCTCCGCCCCGTTCCCCCGCGATCTCCCCACCCCACCAAGCCCCACGGTCTGTACCCACCCCCGCCACTCCTGCCGAGGGCTCCCCGCGACCCCGGAGCGGCTGGACTCCGGCAGCAGCCTCTTCCCTAGACCTGGGCCTGGCGACTCTCGGAGACAGGGAACGGGGCCGAGCAAGGGGGCGGGGCTAAAGACGGAGGTGGTAGGCGGTTGCTAGGAAACAGCGTCTCCGGGAGGAAGTGACTTCCTGACCGTCATTCCCTACCGTCAGGTCGCTCGGGTACCCAACACCACCTTACGGCCCCACCAGTCGCTGGGGCAACCATCCAGACGGAGGAAATGACATCAGCTCTCTGGGTCTTGGGAGAAGGGCGCACCTCGCCGCCTGGGCTTCACTGTTGCCTGGAAGACAGGAGCGGTCCAGCTCCCCCTCGCGCCCGAGAGCCCTGAGCTTGCCAGAGGAGCGAGGGTCTTCGTCCGCACGTGCTGCGTGGACCAAAGCACATGCATCGTTTTGTCACAATCAGGACCTAACTCGGACGGACTCGAGAGTGTAGGGATAAATGGGACAGAATAGCACGACAGTGACGTTTGCAGACTCACGATTCTAACTGCACGTTTGAATCTTGGCGCCCCTTCCCTAAACCCGTGTGATGTGAAAGTTAACATTTCTATGCCCTAGTTTCCTCTTCTGGGGGGGAAAAAGATGTTAATAATAGGCACCTTAACGCGTTGCTGGGTGTATTAAATGAAATAATGCAGATTAAATACTTCCAAGAGTGCCTGGGCTCATTCAATATCAGATATGCTTTTTATGCAACTCAGCCACAAAGGACCTGGACAGAAGTCATCCCTTGTCCACACCGCTGGAAGCCCATTCCAGGTGTCTCTTTAATCATAAATTCCCTTCATTGTATACGCAAGGGATAATCTGGTTAAAATCAAACCAAGCAACAAAATTATCTAATAGAGTGGAGGACCATGTGCTGCTAAGTAACCAAAATCATCACGTAATTAGCACAGCTAATCCTTAAACAAAAGACAAAACCAATTCTTTATTTTTTAAAAATTATCTTTATTGTTGAAAGTATTACAGATGTCTCCTTATCCCCCAGTGTCCCCCTCCCCTCCTTCCAACTCCCCCCCCATCTTCACCCCACTATTGTCTGTGTCCATTGGTTATGCATATATGCATATAAATTCTTTGGTTTATCACTTCCTGCCCACCTCCCTGCCCTTTTCTCTAGGTTCATCAGTCTGATCCCTACTTCCATGTCTCTTGATCTATTTTGTTCATTAGATTAAACAGTACTTTATAATAACATGGATCTCCACTATTATAATTTAAAAGAAGCTTAATCTTAAATTGTATGAATAAATGTACTGTCTAGTAATTAAATTACTCTAGTATTATTTCCCATATCTCTAAAACTTATTAATTTTACTTATTCAACAATTATTTATAAACAAATTATATTGAGATATTCAATAAATCAATGTATTGAAAAACTATATGTGCATAACAAGAAATATGAAATTTAGTAAAAATTCTATGCTTTTAAACAATCTGTGTAGTTAAACTTTTTAAAGATTGTGTTCAGTTTATGTTAACTTGTTTGAAAACTGAATTTGATCAACATTTACTTATTTTTGATGTTCTTAAACATTTGTGAGTCTCTGCATAAGAGAAAGATTTTCCATTCACCAGTTACTGTTAACTTCTGAGCCATATAAGCTATCAATCAATAACTATGATTCCATCATAGCACCTGTGCCACAGTGAAAAAGCAGTGCCTGCATTTTCCTTGGACATGAAGTATTAATTTGTTCATATCGAAATATTTAAATTCATTTTAAACAAAACCTCTGTTCTGTTCATTGTAAAAATCAACTTACCTAATATTATTTTTATTAAGATAAGATTTAAGAAAATAAAATTCAGCCTGGCTGGTGTGGCTCAGTGGATGGAGAATCTTCCCATGGACTAAGAGGACCAGGTTCCATTCCCAGTCAGGGCACATGCCCAGGTTGATCCCCAGTAGGGGGCGTACAGGAGGCAGCCAATTAATGTTTCTCTCTCCCTCTCCCTTAGTCTCTCTCAAAAAAAAAAAGTAATAAAACATATTTTTAAAAAGAGAGAGAGAAGAAAATTCAAGAAAAGAGACTTTAAAAAAGATTCTACTAGATTTTTTCAATTTCAAAATAATTAATAAATATAGATTAAACAAAGATGGTTAACCTAAACTGGTTAATTTCTCTGTAAGACCTAAAACACAATGTCTTTCCACTATTCTCTTATCTTAAGCAGCAGAAAATTATTTATTTATAACATTATACCTGAATTAATATTTTATTTATTGCATAATTGCAATTGTTGAATGACCTCATGAAAAATCAAATCGCATTTTAAACTAAAAAATTACTTTTATTTTTTATTTTTTCAAAAAATGTTTTTAATGATTTTTCAGAGAGAGAAGAAAGGAGAGAGAGATAGAAAGATCATGTGAGAGGGAACATTCATTGGCTGCCTCCTGCATGCTTCCTGCTGGGGATCAAGCCTGCAACCCGAGCATGTGCCCTGACCAGGAATGGAACCAGGACTTCTCAGTCCATCGGAGGATGCTCAATCCAGTGAGCTACACTGGCCGGGCTGAAAAATAATTTTTAAAACATTCCAAAAAAAGTTCACAGATATTCACTTTTAAAAAAAATGATAAGACAGTGACACAAAATTTTAGTAGCTTATGTAACATTTTCTCTATATTATATTTTTCACTGTTCTAATATATATTAAATCTCAAAAGTATTTGCCCAGCCAATTTTTTTAATTTAATACTGTTTTCATTTCTGAACCTTGTCTTTATTCATTTATTATTCAGCAAGTATAACCCCGCCAATTCTCTGGGTCAGATCTCAGGAGTTCAAAGGTAAACCAGACTGCCCTGGCCAGTTTGGCTCAGTGAGTAGAGCATTGGCCTGCAGACCAGAGAGTTCTGGGTTCGGTTCATGCTAAGGACACGAACCTCGTTTGGAGTTTGTCTCTGGGCCCGGTTAGGGTCACGTGGGTGGCAACCACTGGATGTGTCTCTCTCACGTCAATGTTTCTCTCTCTCTCTTCTTCCCTCTCTCCCTCCCACTGTATCTGAAGATAAATGCAAAAATGTCCTCAGTTAAGGATAAAAATAAATTAAAAAAAGGTAAACCAAGCTGGCTCCCTACCTAAGGTTCTTATACACTAGACCTACCTAGAAGGCTGGGGAAACATAATAACTATGCATTGTGATCATTTCTCTGTAGGAGTACAAAGTGAGAAGCTCTCTCTCAATAGAAAAAGTCTTCCTGGAGTATCTAGAAAGTTTTCACAAAATAATTTTTGAGTTGATTAATGAGTTTAGGATATAAGGAAGGCTCTGAAGTACATTTTAAGCAGAGGGAAAGGTCTATGAATATGAAGCCCTCTCCATTGCGGGTGCAAGTGGTTGAGCAGAGAGACGGTGATGGTGCTGGGACTGTGCTACCTGTCAGGCAAGGAGGAGAGTGAGAAGACTTATTTCCAGATGAAGCAACTGAGAAGTGACTTGCCTTTAAAGGTTCCCTGCCCACATTTCAGCAGGCAAAACGTTCCTGCTTTGCTACGGGCAACACGAGTTATAGACAAAAGATCCTGAATTCACAGCCCTGGCTAAAACAACGAAGCACCTGTCTAGCATTTTGAGAAGTGTACTATAGAGAACAACCCCCATGGATGTCCAATGATAACCACTAGACTTGCATTATACATTGACTGCCCTGAATGCCCATGTCAGAGCAGAATGTGAGTAAGCACCCAGATACAAGTGCAGGTACCAATACCAAGGTCGACTTTGTGGGATCAGGACAGCAGGAGACTTAGAGAAGGGAAATATCAGCATCTTGAGGAAAGACAACCAATTTGGATTTGGGATAAAAAAGAAAAATAACTTACATGTTTTTACATAACAATCTTAATTTGTGGAATTAAGATCTAGCAATGGAGAAAGCCCAGGCATCACTTAGAGGAAAATTTCCTTGTGAGAGATCATTTATTTCAGGATATTCAAGGGAAGGAGGGCCAGAATCCAATGGTAGTTGATGAGGACAAAATAAAAATTTCAACACTGTACAAAAGCTAAATTTGGTTTTGCATGGCCGTCATCTT